CTCAAAAAAAAAAAGAAAGAAAGAAAGAAAGAAAAAAAACCCACTGCTCTGTCTCTCAGCCTCCTCTTCCAGGATTGGCTGTCATCTTGAGGGGAATGCTGGCCTTGCCTGTCTCCAGCCTTGTTCTTCTCTGCCTCCTATGCCTTTAAGCACATGTTTTGTATTTGCTGGGCTGTGAAATCTGCACTTCATCTGATGGGGTTTGCTTTATAGGTGACTAGATCCTTTTCTCTTGGTGGTTTTAGAATTTGCATCTTCACATTGACTTTAAATAGTCTGATTACAGTTTGCCATGGCAAAGACCCTTTGCATTGCATTGTTCGGGGATATTTGACCCTCTTTTATCTGGATGTCTAATCTCCTGTTAGATGTGAGTAGTTTTCATTATTATTTCATTAATGGGCTGGCATGTGGGCCGTGGTTCCAGGGGGGCTGAGAGAGGCAGCCGCCTGATGTCTGACCGCTTCTCTTTCTGTCTCTTTTCTTACCTGGACTCTGGGTTGCTTGTTAGCTGCTTCTGCCAGTTCTGAGTTTTCAAGGGGAGAGGGGCCCAGTGATGGCTGTTCTTTGAAGGAAAGGGAAGAATGTCTCCTGCTTAACATGTTTCTATGTTTCCAGTTAGTTAGTTAGTTAGTTAGGTTAGTTAGTTAGTTAGAGCCAGGGTATCTCACTCTGTTGCACAGGCTGGAGTGCAATGGCATGATCTTGGCTCACAGTAGCCTCCACCTACCAGGCTCAAGCAGTGCTCCCACCCCAGCCTCCCAAGTAGCTGGGACTGCAGGCATGTGCCACCATGCTTGGCTACCTTAAAAAAAATTTTTTTTTTTTTTGATACAGACAAGGTCTCACTATATTGCCCAGGTTGGTATTAAACTCATGGGCTCAAGTGATCCTCCTGCCTTGGCCTTTCTAAGTGCTGATATTACAGGCAGGGTTTCAATTTTTTAAAGCTCCCAGCAGGGGTATTAAACTCTCCCTTTCCAGAGAAAGCGCACTCTGTCCCCATCCCTCATGTTATCCTCTCCTGCCTCTGCTTAGGGTTCACTCTGGGGGAAGTGCCACTTGAGAGATTCCTTTTTGTGTGTGGCTTCTGACTGACCGGTCCCTGCTCACAGCTGCTGCTTCTCAGGGTGGGGTCCCTGAGGCCGGGAGTGTGGCCTCTGAAAACCTTCAGGGCCAGAAGCAGAATGAGAGCCTGTGGCCACATAGCCCCTGGTGGGAGACGTCCTGCCACCCTTTGCTTCTCTGTGCCACTCTGGCTGTACATTTCAGATCCCTGGGAAACGTTAACTGGTAGGACCTAGAAGGGGAGGTGAGGAGGGGTCACCCGCAGGTGTGCCTGTGGTGAGCCTTTGTGCTGAGCAGGTGCAGGGAGGGAGGCCCAGGTGCACACATCTGTGAAGTAGGGGCAGCTGGTTGGGCTCCTTGACCTGCTCCAGAACTTCTTATTTTCTAGCCACTTCACCTGCAGAAGGCCCAGGTGGCTGTGGTCTCTAGGGTCCCTTGCAGTGAACATGATGCCTGTCCTCAGCCCCTCTCTAGGCCTGGTGCTGTGCTCAGCACTGTCGTATGTGTGTATGTGTGCACGCACGTGAATGTGTGCAGACATCATGAGGTGTGGTCCCTGCTCTTAGGCAGCTTGCCTTGTGGCTGAAATGAACCATCACCTGCATCAAGGGGTGGAAACACAAGGCCAGATACAGTGACCTTGTCTGGAGTCAGATGGTGGCTCCGTGACCTGGCTTCACTCCAGAACTACCTGGGGTTTCTAGTTGTGCAAATCCCAGGTCCCACCCAGATTATGAGTCCAGTTTTCTACAGGTGGAGCCCAGGAAGGTGTATTTTTAACACGATGGTACTGCTCATTCACCCAGCCCAGCCAGTGGTCTCTGCGTACCCAGGAACTGCTGACACAGAGCTTGTGCTCCCCATAAAACGGGAGACAGAGCCTTCACGGACAGGGGACGTGTAGCTTGGTCATGACAGGGTGTTTTGTACCAGCACAGACTGTGTTCAGGTGACATTAAGGACAAGTTCCTGCAGGCTAGCTGCCTGGACAGGGCTGGGTGGGGGTAGAAGTTAGAGGGGTCACAGAGGGGCTTTCTCCCGGCTGCCTCACCAGCTGCTTGATTTAGGGCTTGGCTCTGGGTCCTCCTGGGCCTGATTCTGAACCACGGGACTGGTGTGGCCTGCAGGCTCCTCCTGCCACAAGCTGTTCATGGTGCAGGGGGAGAACAGTGTCCACAGTTCCCCAGGCAGCAGCAGTGGATACCAGGCCCCCAGGAGTTGTTACTGAAGTTGCTGCTGGACAACTCGCCTTTCACTGAACTCCACATAGCACCCGTGGTGATGGGAGCCGGGTGGAGAGAGTCTGCCAGCCTGCGCATCAGCTCCCAACTGGGAGGGGCAGAGGGAGGAGGGGGTGGGAGCCCCAGGCAGCAAGGCTCTGGGAGCAGTGGGGCCCTGGGTTCCAGGGATATCTGGCAGGCCCCTCCTTACTCTACCTCGCTTAGCCTCTGGATGGAGATGCTGGCCACAGTCAGGCTCTGTCTCTGACTGAGGACTGGAGAAGTGGCGGGTGTGGGCTGCTGCCCCGTGCAGCCTCTGAACAGACCCCAGGGCCTCTGTCAATCATGACTCCTTGCTTTCAGCTGGACCCACAGGCCCTGCAGGACAGAGACTGGCAGCGCACCGTCATCGCCATGAATGGGGTACGTGTCCGTGGGACTTTCCTGGTGCCCACATCCCCCAGAAGGATAGGGTGGCCTCTTCATTTTCAAATCAGTCAGAGGTGGCTGAGCCTGAGCCAGCGTCTGACACGGAGCCTGGTTGGAGGAGGGAGGTTCCCCGAAGAGCAGAATCGCCGTGCCTGGGAATCGTCATTCACTGACTGGGATGCAGTTGCCAGCCAGGCCCTGAGCATCCCTCCTCAAACAAAGGTCTCATGGCACCACCAGGACAGGTGGGGCCTCCACTCGGTGACCTGGGGGCTGCCTGTAGAAATGGAGACCTCTGATTTGTCTTTAGGTACCCCAGAAAGGTTTAGCCCTTAAAAGCAATGACACACCCAAAAAGTCCTGGGCATATATGGTAAAATGTTAATATTTGATGATTCTTGGCTTTTTCTTATACTATTCTGTCTTTCCTACTTAATTTTTAATTGTTATTAAGAAAGAGAGAGTGGGCACAGTACACCTATGGTCTCAGCTACTCTAGTGGCTGAGCCAGGAGAATCACTGGAGCCCAAAAGTTCAAGTACAGCCTGGGCAACATTGCAAGATCCCATATTTAAAAAACAGTAAGCAACCAAGAGAAGCAGCGGGGATTTTAGGAGGTGGTTCTGCAGAAGCCAGTCCTTTACACCATCTTCAACAATCCTGGCTCTTGCTGAAGTAGACTAGGGGAGTCCCTGAGGGGCAGCCCTACCCCATGCTGAGACCTCTGCATGCCTTGGGGGTGGAAATATTTGATGAGACTCCAAGGGGCCCTTGGGACCTTGGGCTATGAGGACCAGAAGGATTAGTGGACTATGCCCCTTCTCCCCTCTATCGATTGAAGTAAAGCTCTCGGTCAAGTTCAACAGCAGGGAGTTCAGCTTGAAGAGGATGCCGTCCCGAAAACAGACAGGGGTCTTCGGAGTCGAGATTGCTGTGGTCACTAAGTGAGTGGGGAGGGGCTTGGGCTCATGCACTGAGGGTGCCTGTCCCTTCAGCTGTTTCTGCAGAGAGGAGCATGTGTGGGTCTCTCCTCTCTCTGCGTGGCCGCTGCACAGTGAGGTCAGGCTCCAGGGAACACTTGGTGTGTTCAGCTACCTCCTGTGTTTACTCAACACCAGCTCAGGAGTGTCCTTGCCGCCTTGCTTGGAAGCAGTAGGGCTGGCTCCAGGAACTGCCCGAGTGCAGGGTTTTCTGCCCTCGCTTGGAATTTGTCACGGTCCCAGGTTCCTGTTGAATGGCCATAACCCCTGCCCCTTTGTCACGAGTCAGTTGCCAAGAGAAACTTGTTTGGTTTGAGAGCAGTTCTTGCAGACACAGACCACTTCCTCTGATAATTCATTTGCTTCCCCAGGATGGAATCCAGCTGGGCCTCTGAACTTGCTGGTCATGCGGGCCGGGGCCTCCATCAATCATACCCTGGACTCCTTTCTGTGTCTAAACAGCACGCTCACCCCCAACTACACGGCAGCCACTTGCGTAGCACTCTGGGAGGGCTCTGGGCATGAGCAGCGAGGACTCCAGCAGCAGCCCCCGCAAATAACCACTGCTTATGAGTGTGGCTTGAGAAGCAGCTTTGATGTGCTCCTAAACCCAGTTGCAAAACAAAGCTAAAGTTAAGGCCTCAGCACAGCACTCTGTTCTAACTTTGAAGTATTCTTACTCTAGTGTCCTGTGTGGCGGTATTGGAATTGTTCATTGCTAGGACTCAGAGAAAAGCACTTAGCAGCGCAGGACTTAAGAGTGCTGGTGCTGAGGCAACCCTTCATTCATTCCTCGGATGTGTGTTAAGGCCCAGGCCCAGGGCAGGGGTCAGGGATTCTCCTCTCACACAGCGCGCGGGTGGCAGGACCAACACCGGGTCTGATCCCCCAGCTGGGAGCACAGGCTGCTAACCCCAGGCCTGGAATCTATCAGATGCCCTTTCTGTGCTGACTTTACTTAGACAGGCCTCCTGATCTTCCCCCAAAGATCATGTGTGACTTGCAGGGGTTCTGGCTGCTTGAAAGGTCCTGAGACAGTACATGCAATGAGGACTGAGCTTGCAGAGGGAGCACAGGCATGCAGAAGGTTCTCTGTGCAGCCCCACACCTAGTCACCTTAACCATCATCCTCACTCCACCTCCATAGAGCAGGTCTCCTGTGTGTGGCCCACGCAGGGCTGCCAGGACACTGCGAACATTCCCTCCTGCTGCAGGAGAGAGAGGTCCAAGGTGCCCTACATCATGCGCCATTGCGTGGAGGAGATCGAGCGCCGAGGCATGGAGGAGGTGGGCATCTACCGCGTGTCCGGAGTGGCCACGGACATCCAGGCACTGAAGGCAGCCTTCGACGTCAGTCAGTGGTGGCCTGGGGAGGACAGGATGGAGGTGTGGAAGGCGGTGTCCGCGATGAGATCTCAGAGTGCTCCATGGTCCGGGCATGTCACATTCTTCTCTGTGTCTTTTCTTCATTTACAGTGTTACTATTTTTTAAAAAGAGAAGACAAGAATTATAGAAATAGCTTCTGTAGAAGCCAGTTTTTAAACCATCCTAGCCATGCATGCCACTTGCTGGGGTGAACCAGGGGCTTCTGTGGGGCCTTGGCCTTCTTGCCTTGGGGGTGGACAGGAGGTGGAAGCCCAGGACTCAGTGCAGTCTGTCCACTGCCCTGTGTGAGGATGCGGTGGGCAGAGGACACTGATGGGACCCAGCTCAGGCTGGGGCTGCAGCATCTCTGCCTCCATTTCACCAACTCTCTCAGGCTATGAAAGACATGGACCTGCCTCAAGTGCCAGAGGAGGACACAGAGGCCCCAGAGGGTCCTTTCCAGCATCTTCAAAGCAACAGGATTTTGTGCCTGCAGACCCTTCTTTGGGGCACACACCACTGACCCTGACCAGGACTCCTAGAATGCCCAGCACCCCTGGGTGGGCCCTGTGGTAATTTCAGCTCCCTCTGGGGGCCCAGAATAGACCTGGCCTGTGGTGAGGACGTAAGCACCAGTGGCCCATTGGGTCCAAAGGAAGACATTGGTTCAAACACTGAAACCAATCAGATTCTCCCACAGCCTTCCTGCCATCAGAAGACACTGGTGCAGGGGTGGTTGCTAGGTACAGGGCAGAGTCACCCGATTCCCACGCAGGCACCGTGTCCTGCCGTGCTGGCCTCCTCCTGGCCGTCACCTCGGGCCAAGCAGGGGAGAGTAATGGGAATGCCCATGCAGCCCCATCAACTCTGCAGACACAGAACTATGCACAGCTCTTGGGAGGAGTCAGATGAGCTGCTCAAAGCCGAGGAGAGACCCGCACAGTGGTCAACATGGCAGGGACGGTGCTTTAGCCAAGGCAGGGATGGTGGGAGACTCACTCGGGATCCTGAAGGAGGCCGCTGCATTTCCGTGCTCTTTCCAGATAACAAGGACGTGTCGGTGATGATGAGCGAGACGGACGTGAACGCCATCGCAGGCACGCTGAAGCTGTACTTCCGTGAGCTGCCCGAGCCCCTCTTCACCGACGAGTTCTACCCCAACTTCGCCGAGGGCATCGGTGAGCACTGGAGGCCTTGGCCTCATGGGAAACGTCTCCTCCACGTGCACTGCTGCCCTTGGAGGCTGTGAAAAGTGATGTGTGGGAACCCGAGCTGTGCCCCCTTTGCCATGGTCGGTGTTTTAACCCAACCTCAGAAAGCAGGGGACCAAAATCAAGCCTGTCCTGGAAGACCTCGCCCATCCCCAGAGGGCTCCCCGTCCCTATTCCTCAAGGGGACCAAGAGGGTGAAATGGTCAGCACTGCCGTGCTGTGGGGTCCTAAAGTCTGCTGTCCTCCTTCCTGCAGACCAGGACTGAAGGAGCGCCCAGGTGCTCTAGCCACGGGTCCTGGCCCAGTCAAGCATGGGTTCAAACCTGGCCTGACCCTTAGTCAACCTGGAGGCTGATGGCTAGAGTGGGTGCTGGTTCATGTGGCACCTGTAGCCTCCACATCACCCTTAGGGCAGGTCTGCCTCCCAGGCCCATGCACAGAGGACCTGCAGGTGCCCCTGTGGTGTCCAGGACAATGAGGGAGTCTCTGCATACTTGGTGGGGCTGGAGCCCTCCCACTTCCCACCTCTTTGTGTCCCTCACTCCCGTTTCATTCCACGCCAAACCTCCCCTACCTTGGGCTCCCCTGGGGAGGCGGTGGTGGCAGGAGATGCCCAAGTGCAGCTCTGTCCATGAGCGACTGCTCTCGCAGCTCCTCCTGCTGCTGTTCGCCGGGTGCTGCTGACCCCTGTGAGGTGGAGAAAAGGCGTTCAGGTGGCTCATACCCCACACCAGCGCCCCTTGCAGAGTCCTCACTGGGGGCCAGAGCTGTGGGACTGAGGATGATGACAACCCTGGGCTGTGCAGGGACACGAGCCCCAGGCACTCCACGTAACCACCTCAGGAGAGGTTTCTCAGGAGAGCAAAAATTACACGGGGCAGGCTGGGCATAGTGGCTCACGCCTATAATCCCAGCACTTTGGGAGGCCCAGGCGGGTGGATTACCTGAGGTCAGGAGTTCAAGACCAGCCTGGCCAACATGGTGAAACTCCGTCTCTACTAAAAATACAAAAATCAGCCGGACCTGGTGGCACATGCCTGTAATCCCAGCTACTCAGGAGGCTGAGGCAGGGGAATTGCTTGAGCCCGGAGGCAGAGGTTGCAGTGAGCTGAGATCATGTCTCTGCACTCCAGCCTGGCTGAGAGAGCGAGACTCTGTCTTAAAAAAAAAAAAAAATTATGCGGGGCAGAAGTAAGAAGGCGTGGAGGC